GGGGGGGGGGGGGGGGGGGGGGGGGGGGGGAATGCGGTACATGCTCTTAAGGAAATTCCACAAGAAATATTCTACAGAAATATAAGAGCGATTGATATTTCTGTACCACGTGAGCCAGAAGTCTACTCACGCTTGTTTGTCGATTTGTGCCGCTGCAAAAAAGAAGAAAAACTCTCTCCATCGAAGACTCGCATCTCGGTAAACATTCCCCGTTATCTACTTTGCCTTTGGCGAATGATTTTAACTGTTTCGTTAAAAAAAGAAAAAAAGTTCCACGCTAGAAGCCAGGAACGATCACGTTGTACAAACTCAGTAATTTTTATTAGACCGGTCATAGTAGTTCTYATGCAGAGCCGTTCACGAGTCAGACAAAAACTATGAATTTCAGCTCTCGTGAAAGTAACATTCTATTGTTTTTTTTCCTCTCTGCTGAATCGGGCTGCATTGGGAATATCCTGCAAGAGGGGTCTATAAGTATATCCTGCGTTCTTGGGATACTTTGGACAAAAAAAGATAAAATGACAGATCTCACTTAGGACACTCCTTTTCCTGTATGTTTTTAACCGAATATTTTTAGACGTATTTCATTTTCTTTTTAGTTTGATGGACCTTATCTTTCGTTCTGTTTAGAGAATCTTCAGAATCTTATATATCTTAAAAGTTTTATTTTACATCTCGTCCTTTGAGTGCAAAGCTAATTATCGGTTATAATGGTTTAAAATAAAAAAGATGACTCCTTCAAAATGACATTTTAAAAAGTCAAGTGCCTTCGTTGCCAAAGGCACTATCTACTTTTTTATCTTCTTGCCATTGATTGTGAATAAATTGTTTGTTGTTTTATCCGTTGCTATGTTTTTTCTAAATAGCAAACATTAAATTTTGGGAGCGGAACTACTCTTTCATAAACACACGCACGAGAATGGGCAACGATTACTTGATAAACAATAGCCCTAAATCCCGTGACGTCATTAAATAACTAACTTGGATTCCTTTACGCAAAGGTTAGGGTGAAAGAGCTCTGTCAACAAGAGGTGATCAGATGATTTTATCTCGCAATCTTATTTAATACCAAGAATAATTGAACCGACTATTAGTGCAACGCAATTTTAAGTCCAGACAGGTTTCAAAGTTGATTTTAGCTCGCCAAGGCTAGTAATATACTACAGTCACTGGTCGACCTACTCAATTTGGAAAAGAGCAGTTTACCATAAATCGATGGACTAAGACAACGACAATATAAACTTATAGCTACTTGTATAAAAGCAAGGAATTAATATGGGAAATTGTAGCAGTGTTCCGCCAGATTATGAGGTTATAGTCAAAACTGGAGACGTGAAAGGAGCTGGAACGGACGCCAATGTGTATTGTGCGTTGGTCGACGAGGAGGGTAACCGTACCAAAGATTTTCACTTGGATTGTCGCTGGAAGGACGACTTTGAGAAAGGAAACATTGACAAGTTTAAGCTTTCTAATGGTTCAGCACTTGGGCCTTTAAAAAAGATCGAAATATGGCGTGACGAAACAGGTTTAGGAGACGATTGGTACGTGGAGTGGATCAAAGTCAAGCAGCTTTTGAACTCGAATGGATCGGATGAGCTGGATGTTTTTCCATGCAATCGTTGGGTTAAAGCTGATAGGAAGTTAATTTTGACCAAGTACGATTGTATGCTGCCACAGTTTGATGATCATCCCGAACARAGGAAGCTTGAACTGGAAGAAAAGCAAAAACTTTACGTTCTCAAACGTAAAGCTCCCGGTTGCCCAAAACAGGTACAAGAATTTTCATTTAGGAGTTATGTAATTTGAAGTACTTTATTTGCGCTACTAGAATAAGTATAAGGTTTGTTTTGTTTGGAAAACGGAATGTTCTTACCTTTTAAAGCTAAAATAACATGCAGAGTTTCGTTTTCAAGAATTATCTTGTACTAGTGTCATAGTATATATAATTTATAATATAATTTTTTGATTTAAATAATTATACCTCAGTTATTAAAAGGTAGTACAGTCCCTAATGAAGGTATGTAAAGATTACTGACTAACATATCTAAATTGATGCAATAGATTGAAAGTTGCCCAAGAGATGAGAGTTTTAGCAACGACTATAAGGTGGGTATTGATCTCTTCATTTAGTGACAGGGTAAAGTTCTTTCATTGTTCTGCATGTTTAAACAGGTTTTAATAGAATCGACCTAATATTTTTCCGTTATGCTTTGTTTTCGATTTCTGAAGGAAAACCATTTAGATGCTCAGAAAAAAAACACTAGTTACATAACATAGACAAATATTATTTTGACATTTAAATTGGTTTCATTTTTTAGCTATACATGTAGGATATTGCAGGAAATATTTAAAATATTTAAATATTGTTTGTTGATTTTTCCTCTAAAATCATATCTTTTTATTAATCTTTCAAAAAATCTCCATGAAAAAGTTATGTAATAAAGAACTGTTTATTCACGAGTTGTCATAGAAACCTTCATCAAATTTAGGCTGTTTTTATTACTAACTATTCCTCTGAAAATAAGTATTGTTATTCTCATAGGGGAATAAAATATATTCATATTTTATTGTTAATGCACTTCATATACTTATTCTGATTCCTTCATCACAGCTGTTAAGGTTATAGGATGAAACCACAATTTATTTTTTTCCATTTTGGCAGTCATAATAGAGTGTAAACAATAAATCCGTGAAAAACTAAATACTAAATAGTACAAAATAGTGCTAGTTAAACAATAGAAAACAATGGAATTTGCATGAAATTGTGCTATTTAGTATTACTAAAGCTTCACGGTTATATTGTTTGCACTCTAAACCACAATTTTTGTTCCCATTTTGGCAACATTAATCATGAGAAGGCTTTAATTGCTCATAAATTTTAATGTAAAAATAGCTCTTTTACTCACCATCTTATGTCCAAAATTAATATTTATAAGCTATTTCATGATATCCTTTCTAGAAAATATTTTTGCAACCCTCCTAAACAGGGATTGACCAACCTACCTCCTCGACTTACATTTTCTATCAAAGAAACTGAAAAACACAACATCTTCATCTTAGACCAATTCTTAGCCAGCTATTAAAAACCCACAATTACCCTCTTTGCAATTTGGTGAATAAATCATTCTAGAATTGTTCATATTATTGAGTAATTATGATATTTTCATAACTTTTGATAGTGGAACATTCAGCAGACCAAGTTAAAGTTGCTGATTAAGTGCAAGTTGACTAAGCTCACCTCAGACCCATGGGAGAAGYTGGAGGATTTTTCCAATGTTTACAAAGGCAGCATGGGGAAACCATATGTAAGTAATAACACTTAGATTCATGATATTTATGATTTATGATAGCATGATTGTTTGTATCTCAAGGAGAAATGAAAAACATGAAGCTCAATAGCTAGGAATGTACAATCATCACTATCATCTTTTCTCTCTTACTGACAAATGAGGAACTCATAATAATATTATCCGATCCTTGCATGGGTATAATGTCAACATGAAATTATGGATTATATACATGTTGGTTGCCCAGTACTATGAAGAATGGGAATGGATACTGAACATGGCAATTAGGTCTGTGGATAGACTTAAATGTATTGGATTTAATTATGCATTAAAGTATTTATATATTTATTTTCCATTGTTCCAGGGAATTTACAATTGGAAGGAAGATGCAGCATTTGCAAGGCAAAGACTGCAGGGATGTAACCCAATCTTCATAAGACTCTGCAAAGAGATACCTGAAAAGTAAATTTTGTTGTACTCTGTTGCAATACCTAATGATGCATTAAAAGCTGTTCATGCATAAATTGTTTATTCAAAACTTATATTTAGTAGTATGCATTATTATCAAATATTCTAAAATAAATTCACAAGTACAAATAAATGATGCTAACTATATGTAGTTAACATGTCAGTTAATACAAACTGTTGGCAAAAATTGCCYATAAATGTATCTTGCATGTGGTTTTGTGACTTTTTGTGGTTTCCGTTTCCCCCCCCAGCTTCATGGTGACATCAGAGATGGTTGAGCCATTCCTGGAAGAACTGACTCTTGATCAAGCCATTCAAGCCAAGAGAGTCTACATTTGCAACATGAAAATCTTGTCTGACATTGTTTGCAAGTCCAACCGAATAGTAAGCTTGATTAATATATCCAACAATGATTTTATTTAACCCCCTTTTGTATAGAGCCCTTGTATTAATGCCTACCTGGGGGTCAAAACAATTTAACATCATAAAAGATTTCAATTCTCAAGAGAAGGGAATTCTTTTATTTTGACCCCAGAGTGAGCTGCTTTGATCATGATGTCACATGCAAGGTTCTATTGTGATTGTGGTCAGTGATCAGATTCCATAAAAAAAAGAAACAAGTGACCACTACTCAACCATCTGGCCTCCCTTCATCTATATTTATTTATTTATTTATTTATTAATTATTTATTTATTTATTTATGGACAATATTTAAGCAGAGATGCCCAGTTCAGCATAGCTCTCAGTGATAAAATTTATCTAATCATAATCTTTTAGAAAGGAAAAACGTTTTTCAGGCTACATAGTCAAATATATTTATTGAATTGTTTTCAGCTCTGCAAGCCTATGGCCCTTTTCTTTGTGAATGACAGCAAAGAGATGATGCCCATTGCTATTCAACTCTTCCAAGAACCTCACGATGATAATCCAGTGAGTACCAAGGAAAGGGTAGAGATACCAAATAATCGATCAAGAGCTAATGCATTTACCACTCCTGGGGTGGATGGCTTAATGCCTAAAAGGTTTTTCAACCAATTGAAAGGCAGCCTATTGATGGATTTGTGGAGGGAGTAAAAACCGGAAACTCCAGAGAAAAAAACTTTCAAAGCACAGGACTAGAACCAACAAAACTGGTGGCAGCATTCACCACCTGTGCTTCCCTAATTAGGGAAATTACTAAAGTTTGATCCTTTCATTAGCTTTACTAATTATGTCTTAATTGGGCACTGCTAAACAGCAAAACACTGAAACGAAACACCGGAGCGAAACACCGGAACGAAACAGAGACAAATTCTTGATATTACAAATGTCATGCAATAAAAAAATAAAAGAAATCAAAATACATGATAGTGCACAGATACAAAAGCGATAAAGCTTACCTTCATGCCCATGCTTTATGATCTGTGATCCGTATCGATCGTTTATTACCTTTTATAAACAATGTCGTTTCGCTGTCTATCAATGCAATTCTTTCTCGAATTTGAAGGATTCCAATGG